TGACCGCACAGAGCGTCCAGTCCAAGTGCCGCACCGCCGCGATATAGTTGAGAGAGAAGTCCTTGTTTGTCTTGCCTGTTCTGCACGCATAGACAAACATGAACGCGTTATTTACCGGATCCGTCTCCGATTTAGCTCCGAGGTTCCACATCATCATGTCGGGCAGCTTGAGGTTTCTGATCGTGCACCCGCGGGCTAGAGTGTGATGACCGAGCACGGTCATCGTACGGATGCACAGGTCGCGATGCAGGCCCTGTGTGTAAGCGTGCTTGGCTAGTGCAAGCTGCTTAAGATGGATTCCATGTTGGACTCCTACATCATGTGCTTGAACTATTCCGGGGTGTACGTGTCCGCGGCCGTGCCGCGATGGCGATCCATGTGTTCCCTGCGCATTCAGTACCACGATTTTACGCATGTTAGTTGTTGCGGTCGTCATAAACATTCAAGTTATTGGTCGCGTTACGTATACTCACGCGATAAAACGCTTGTACTGGTCGCGGACTTGAACGCGGACCCAGATGCGACACTCCGCAAAGTCACGCAGTAGGTTCAGAACAGGCTTCCGAAAGATGGCCCCATCGAGCTTGATCAGCATGTTCAAGGCCTTGAGACGGCCCATCATCTTGCGGGGGTGCACTGGCGTCGCTTCTTCAGGGTTTTGTCGGGCCTTTTTAGTGTTGCCATCCTCTCCGCCTGCGCGACTGACTCGTTCGCGAGGAAGGTCACGTATTTGCGTAAGCGCCATGGATTAGTCTCCGGGCCGTGAAACCACTGCTCGTCGCCAATTGCCTCCTTCCACCTCGTACCCATGTTTTGCTTGAATGCGGCCGCAATCTCGTCGGGGTTTTTGTTCTTCAACGCGGCCTCCTCTCCGAACCTCCCCTCGTCCAGTTTCGGCAACTCGTGCGCCATGAACTGCTTGTACTCGTTGGCCCAACCGCGGTACTTTTTCAACGTGGCCTCGGACATACCGTATAGAATTCCCATGCACATCTCTCTCTTCGCGGCTGGTGTGTCGTCCACACCAAGCCTGTTCCAATCCGCGATCGGGGCCTCGTTGGCTGAGTGCGGTACCCGCACCCGGTCGTTGTCTTCAGCCTCGTCCTCATTGAGCGCGGACAACAAGTTTGATAGGTAGTTTTTGTCATCGTCATTCCACCCGTCGCCATCTTCGTCTTCATCATCATCGTCGTCGTCGTCATCCACATCGCTCGGCCCCTCGCCCCCCTCCCCGGTCCCGTTGCGGGTGGTGTCCGTCACTACATCGACTCTCCGCCTCATTATACGCGGCCTACTGACTGGCTGGTTCCCGGTACCTCCGTTCGCATTAATACCATTCCTTCTCCCGCCGTTGCCTGGTCCCCCAGGCGCTCTCCCCGCGTTTGCACTACCCCCGTTCCCTCTCCCACCGGTCCCTCTTCCCGTGTTCCCGCTCCCACCGGTCCCTCTTCCCGCGTTCCCGCTCCCACCGTTTCCTCTCGCACCTGTCCCTCTCCCCGCGTTCAATCTCATACCATTCCCTCTCCCCGCGTTCCCTCTCGCACCAGTCCCTCTCCCCGTGTTCCCTCTCGCACCAGCCCCTCTCCCCACGTTCCCTCTCGCACCAGCCCCTCTCCCCGCATTCCCCGCGTTCGTCTGTGGTTGCCTACCTCTACCGGTCGCGTTCGCAGCGGCTGGTTGCGCAGGGGTGCTGATATGGACGTCCGGGTTCCCTAGCAACAATGAGTTCACGTTCCATATCGGAGGCGAATGTGCATGCAAAATTGCATTCATCCCCACTCCACCAGTCACCGCACGTCCTAAACCCTCCGTAACCGCGATCGATGATGGGCCATCTGTTCGCGCTTGTGTGTCGACACCGACGACTAATGGTTCTCTAGGATCTGGCGGGGCTTGCACCGTTGGTGGGATTTCCAGAGGAATCGCGTTAGGAAAGGGGGTTGCGGGAGCGACTGGAGGCGTCGCGACAGTTGCGGGTGCGTGCACCATGGGGCCTGGTTGAACGCCGATGTACTCGTACCTAAATCCGAAATTTGTGTATTGCGGCCCGACGTAGCCACGAACAGGCATCCCAAAGAGCTGGCTTGTAGGCCCCGACGCGGACGCGGTGTGTTGTCCGTCAGTCTGTGTTCCGGGCTGAGGCGTGAATACTCCATGCGTGTTCTGATCATCTTGTTGGGTCTGAAACGCGAACGACGCTGATGCAAAGGGAATCTGTGACCGCGGTGCGAGGTGAATCCCGTTGACCAGTTGCTGTGGGTGGACTACAGGTGGGATTGAGCGATCACATGTTTTGCACGGGAGCGCTTGCTGGTCCCGCATTGTGGATTTGGGCGCGAGTGTATTGCTGTGACATTAAGGGAGTCGTGAAGTATCGGCGCCACGGCACGATTCACGGTATGCATGCAACGTACGAGATTGCCCCTACTCCTACGTAACGCGTGCGTCAACATGATGCGAGGTCTCTACATGTACATCCAAAAAAGCAGTGAAAAATACTCCTCTCGCGTGTATTATCGATTCGTGAGGAGTATAGCGACCAGTAAGTTCACAGACATTCAAGCGCGACCCATATTGAAACCGCGACACTCGACACCTGTTTCCGGCCTAAGTCCGCTGAATTCAATGGGTCAAGAGAGGGTTGAGCTTGATGTGCAACTAGCGAGCGTAAAGCGTGATTGTGGGCATGCAGGGAGTAATGACCGGTCACGGCCTAGACGTGCTTGACACGTCTCCGCGTTCGCGTCTCGACCAACAGCGACACCTGTGTGGGTCGTTCAAAATTGCTGCACGTGTCAGCCAGCATGGAACCTGTCAAATCGCGCCAGGTGTTTCCAAACCGCTTCTCGCAATGCGCTCACCTAACCTATCTTTATGCGAACTTTGTTCGCGACATGTTTCGAGACATCGCAACCAATCCTCTCACTCCGTTTGTTTCGCGAACGCGCAGTTGCATGCGCGCAATTTCCCACTTGCCAATGTTAACGACCAATCGCGTTCGTTTTTCACCGAGTCGCGCATGCATTGGCGCGTAAGAACCACATGGGTTCTTGCGGTTTTTGGGGGGTCGCGGAGCTTTCGGTGGCAATCTGGTGGGTAACACTGAGCCACGCAGGGCCGCGCTAGGTCCAAAATTGGTGGGATTCTGGAGGGCCAACTTCGCCCCACGCTTCCCGCGATAGCTCTGCGCCCTGTACATCCCCAGGCGTGGGCGGGGTTTTTCCCGAGCCGCGCCGTATGAACATACCAGTTGGGGTCACCCTGCTATCGAACAGGGCCAATGCACTCCTTCTGATGCCTGCTGCTGAGCAACGGGCGGTTGCAATATGCTCAGGCGACGCAGGTGAACGCGTTCAGTGGTGCTTGTTCATTGGTGAGTGATGAAAATCTCCAAATGCTTCTTAGTTTCGCTGGGTAGGCGAGAGCTTCGACGTGGAGCGTTTGGAAGTGCTCATTGAATTGCGACCAAATTTATCGTCTGCATTATTGCTGAGGCGACTCGACAGATCGAATTATGTATTGTGTACGCAGTAGTGTACTTTCCACCCACCCACACTAGTTGGTACAGTAAGACTACTCACCATATATTGTAGTTGGATAAGAGCGATCCAAATGACCAACTAAAATGAAGCATGTTTTGCGCAAGACATACCGTAAGAGCTTTCTAGATATGCAGTTAATAGATGTGTAACACTTTTGTATAGACAACTTATTATATACAACCCGCAAGTCCTACATGCCGGACCAAGTTACACACAAAAAACAAAACAGTCGGTGGCAGTGCTGGCAGCGGCTTCAGTTCAGCGGCAGGAGCAACAGATCTTTTCACCACTGCCCTTGGCACCCTGTCCCGTTTCAGGTGCTGCAGTCTCTCGCACTGTCGCATTCGGAGCAATGCAAGCACCGGCAGCAACCTCTATTTCCAGCTCACAAATGCAAACAGTACCCACCCACACTTCCAGAACCACTTCTGCTACCCCCTTGACTTCCTTGACCCCTTTGACTTCGACCTCGTCCACCTCTCCTTTCCTCTCCCTCATTCCCTGTTCCTCCACCCTTCCTCCCCCAACTACCCTACCCTCGCTCCCCGCAACCCTCCTGCCTCCCCCTCCACCCTTTTCCCCCTCCTATCCCCCTCCCCCGCTCCAGCCCCCTTGCTTTGAGAACTCTCAACAACCTTCCCCCTGCCATCCCCCTCCGGTGCTACAGCCCACTTGGATTGAAACACCTGGTCGGTACAGCAGAGCATGGAAGCGAGAGAGGGGGGCGGGGAGACGCCTAGAGCCTGCAGGCGGCTGTAGCGGGGCTGGATGCGGCGGTGCAGGCTGTAGCCGAAGAAATGGGGGAAGGTGGCGGCGTGTGCTAGGGGGCGACCCATGGGGCCTGTGAGGAAGGAGCACTTGGCTTGGATGTTGTCGGGACTGGTGAGGGTGGGATGTGGAGTGAAGGAGGCAGGGAGGGAGAGAGTATTATGAGTTCAGATTGAGAATGGGGATGGCCCATGGGACCTGTGAGGAAGGCGCACTTCGCTTGGATGTTGTTGGGACAGGTGGGAGTGGGGCGTGGAGGGAGCGAGGGAGGGAGGGAAGGGAGGAGGGAGGAGGGATGAGGTTGGAAACATGAGACAACTTTCACAAATGGTGAGGCAGGAGCAGAACGAAAGAAGCTGAGTGAGGCTTTAGGAGGATCTTCCCCTCCCATCCCAACCCATCCATCCCTGCTTGAAACCACTGCTATCCGCATCCTTACACACCTCCTGATCTCTCCAGCTACTTGCATCCGAGAAATGCAATCACAACCTTTGCCCGGCCTTCAAGCCAACCCCTTCAATCCCACGTCCCTCTCCATTTCCCTCGACCTGCATATTCCCTTGAATCGCACAACACCGAACCAACCACCATGCCACGGCACAAACCCCACCCGGACCTACATCCCCCCCCAAACGGTCTGTTGTATTGATTCAACAGGGGTACAGACATGCAGTTTGATTCATGATACCCTTAGTCCCTTTGACCCTTTAACCCACCCCTCTGTCCCCCCCCTCCTCTCCTCCCCCTTCCCCCCCCTCTAGAGACCTGAGCAGCAGCAGCGTGGGGAAGAGAACGAGCATGCGGCGAATGTCCTCTGGGGAGAAGCCAAGCGCGCGCAGGGAGGAGTGGTTGCGGTGCAGCAGGGGCAGCGACAGGCACAGACAGCACGTTGGGCCTTTGAGTCGACTGAAATGTCACCGCGGCAGTATGGCTGCCTGCTGCTGCCCTGTCAGACCCCCACAAACGCAGGCAGGAACCCCACCCAGCCCAAGGAACAAACCCCATCCAGACCCACGCATACCCAACCCAAACCTACACCCACCCCCCCTTTCCAGAGACCTGAGCAGCAGCAGCGTGGGGAAGAGCACGAGCATGCGGCGAATCTCTTCATGTGAGAAGCCCAGCGCGCGCAGGGAGGAGTGGTTACGGCGCAGCAGGGGCAGCGACAGGCACAGCACGTTGGGCTGCCGTGGCAGCATGGCCGCCTGCTGCTGTGCGGTCAGACCCACTGTGTGCGAGAGGAAGAGGAGTTTTGGTCGCAGTGTGTGTGGCACTGACTGGGTTAGCACCTGGACAGGGAGGAGGGCAGCGGCAGGGAAGGGTTGGCTGCCTGCTGCTGTGGGGTCAGCCCCACTGTGTGCGAGAGGACGAGGAGTGTTAAACGTAGAGTGTGTGGTACTGACTGGGTTAGCACCTGGGGAGGGGGGGTGGCAGTGGCAAGGCTCCCTTTCTCAAGTGGTCCGTGTATTGATGCGTCACTGGCTCTCCCTATAGGCTCTGATGCTTGTGCTCCAGTGGGTGCAAGGCGTGTTTCAAGTGATGTGTGATGGGAAGAGCAGAGTACAGGCACACAGCATCGGATGGTATGAGAGGGAATCGGTCGCACCTGCGGTGCTGAGAAGACAATCCGACGAGTTTTCAGGCTCAGGCTCTTTGGAAGGTTTAAGAAGGTGCGAGTTTTCAGCTGAAGAGAAGCTTGAAGACAACAATACAAAAGAATGGTTGAAGTGCTGTGGAGTCTGACCTCTTGGGTCCATTCCTTGCAGTTTCTACTACCTGTGGTGCTGTGGAGACCAATTTGAGCAGCTGTGGTGGTGAGAGTAGGAGGTTCGTGGACAGGAATTCAATGGCAGGTAACAACCTCTCCTCCAGGCTGCAACGAGAACATGGAGTGGGGGAGAAATGGGAGACGGAAATTAGCTGGGCAAAGAGAAAAAGAAAAGCAGAAAAAGAGCTGGAAGATGAAGAGAGATGGAAAGAAAAAGAGGGAAATAGAAAGAGAAAGAGATCCAATGAAGGACCGTTCAAGAGATCGGAAACAGCTGACACACAGCTGGCTTTGAGAATTCTCAAAAACACTCAACCACCCCTCCGTTTCCCCACTCACCTCCTCTCTTCCCCTTCATATCAACCTCCCCATCTTATGCTCTACCCAACCTCTGCAGTCGGTATAGCAAGCAAGCAGCAAGCAGGCAGCAGCTTGCAGGTAGCAGCACCACACCGGCAGCAAGCACTCAGGCAGCGGAACGTAGGCAAACAGCCAAGAATGACGGAGCAGTGGCAGCAGAACCTACCTGCAAGCGAGCAGCGAGGGGCATCGGCGCGGCAAGCAACAAGCAGGCAGCAGCACCGCACGCAGGCAACAAGCACCCAAGCAGGGAGCAGAGGCAGCAGCAACTAACCTGCAGGCGAGCAGCGAGGGGCATCGGCGCAGCATGGTGCCGAGCAGGGGCGGTGTGAGGCCGGGGAGGACAGCGCAGAGCGCAAGCACCTTGGGCCGCAGGTTGGCTTGCAGTGAACAGCCGAGTAGCTTGGGGTAGCCGCGCACTATGCGAGGGATGACGGATGAGGGGATGTGGAGGTGGTGGCGGAGGAAGGATGTGAGCGGGATGACGTTGGCCTGGAGAAAGGTGGTGGGGGGGACATGGGAGGTGGTGGGGGGAATGGGGAGAAAATATGGAAGGGGGTGGGTACCCGCACACGGGGATGTGGAGGTGGTGGCGGAGGAAGGATGTGAGCGGGATGACGTTGGCCTGGGGAGGGGTGGTCGTGGGAATGGGAGGAAGTGGAAGGAATGGGACGAAGCGGAGAGTATGGATTATGGGAGGTGGTGGGAGTGAGTGCGTGTAAGGTATGTGTACAGCGAACGAACAGGGGACGAGAGGCGGAGGTGGTGTTGTATCGAGGGATGGTGTGAGGGATGAAGGACGAGACCATGAGGGGATATTGAGGTGGTGTCGCAGGAAGGATGTGATATGAGCAAGAGGTCGCCCCCACATGCCCCTGCATCACTTACATGCACTGCCTTGCCGAGCACAGGAGGATACACCTCCACCACCTTCCCAATGTCCACGCCCTGACCAGATTAGACACTGCCACGCATCATAACAACAGGATGGGCAGTGGGCAGTGGAGAGAGGGAGGCGGCTTTTGAGTCTGCTCATCAGTCGCCGTGCCGAGCACAGGAGGATAAACTTCCACCACCTTCCCAATGTCCACGCCCTGATCAGATTAGACATTGCCACGCACGTCGCACATAAACAACAGGGTGGGCAGTGCGCAGTGGGGAGGGGGGAGGGGGAGGCGGCTTTTGAGTCGACTCTATCCACATGCACTGCCTTGCCAAGCACAGAAGGATACACGTCCACCACCTTGCCAATGTCCACGCCCTGATCAGATTAGACATTGCCAATGTCAACATAAAGGCAGGGCGGGCAGTGGGCGAGGAGGATGAGGAGGTGAGGGGGTGAGAGGCAAACAAGCACCCGTTATTTGAGGGTGAGGTATTAACTGACGGTGCACTATTGCACAATAAGTCTAGTTTTGAAGCGCCTCAAAACTAGGGAGAGGGAGTAACTGGCGGTGCACTAGTGCACAATAAGGTGGGCGGGGTGCAGTGCAGTGACAGCTCCATCCAACACAGGCAAAAAACACACGCATACACAACCAGAGAGAGGGGCACAGCAGAAACAAACAAAACAAACAAAACAAACAAAACAAACAGAACAAACAAAACAAAGCACTATTGGAGACTGACGGTGCAGCAGTGCGCCATGAGGTGCGTGGCATGGGTGTGCAGCAGTGCGAGCGGCATGTCGAGGAAGCGAGGGCAGCCCACGAGCACGGCTCCCAGGAAGCGCGGGCGCACTCCAATGCTCTGCAGGAACTGCAGCTTTGCTACCAGCTCTGAGAGTGATACCTGCCGCCGCTCCAGCAGGGAGGCCACTGCTGCTGGCTGTGGAAGGAGAATGGGAGCGGCAGGAAGGGGTGAGAAAGGGTGAGAAGTGATGAGAAGGAGAGGTGTGATGGCTGTAGCTTCGCCACCAGTTCTGACAGGGATACCTGCCGGCGCTCCAATAGGGAGGCCACTGCTGCTGGCTGTGGAAGGGGAATGGGGAGGGCAAGAAGTGGGAAGGAGAGAGTGGGCCATAGAGTTGCGCAAGAAGTGTAATGTGTGTGCGTGAGTGTGTGAGAGTGTGAGTGTGTGAGTGCATGTGAGATGAGACGTTCTAAGGCGCCTTAAACACCGTTGAGTTGCAGCGGGTAGGTTGGTTAGAGGTGCAAGGGTGCGCAGAAAGGTTGTGACGCAACGTGATGTGTGCATATGAGACTGTGTGTGTGTGTGTGTGCGCGCGCGCGCCTGTGCTTGTACATGTGCACGCTCATGTGCATGTGCGTGTGCATGTATGTACGTACATGTCTGCATGTACATATGCATTTGCATTTGCATGTGCATGTGCATGTGCGCGTGCATATGCACGTGCATGTGCGTGTGTGTGTGCATGTGCATGTGCAAGTGCATGTGCATGTGCAAGTGCATGTGCATGTGCATGTGCAAGTGCATGTGCATGTGCGTGTAAGTGTGCATGTGCATGTGCATGTGCGTGTGCGTGTGCATGTGCATGTGCATGTGCATGTGCATGTGCATGTGCATGTGCAAGTGCATGTGCATGTGCATGTGCATGTACATGTGCAAGTGCATGTGCAAGTGCATGTGCATGTGCAAGTGCAAGTGCATGTGCATGTGCAAGTGCATGTGCATGTGCAAGTGCATGTGCATGTGCATGTGCATGTGCATGTACATGGGCATGTGCATGGGCATGGGCATGGGCATGTGCATGGGCATGTGCATGTGCATGTGCATGTGCATGGGCATGTGCATGTGCATGGGCATGTGCATGTGCATGTGCATGGGCATGTGCATGTGCATGTGCATGTGCATGTACATGGGCATGTACATGGGCATGGGCATGGGCATGTGCATGGGCATGGGCATGGCATGGGCATGTGCATGGGCATGTGCATGTGCATGTGCATGGGCATGTGCATGTGCATGTGCATGTGCATGTGCATGTACATGGGCATGTGCATGGGCATGGGCATGGGCATGTGCATGGGCATGTGCATGTGCATGTGCATGTGCATGGGCATGTGCATGTGCATGGGCATGTGCATGTGCATGTGCATGGGCATGTGCATGTGCATGTGCATGTGCATGTACATGGGCATGTACATGGGCATGGGCATGGGCATGTGCATGGGCATGGGCATGGCATGGGCATGTGCATGGGCATGTGCATGTGCATGTGCATGGGCATGTGCATGTGCATGTGCATGTGCAAGTGCATGTGCATGTGCATGTGCATGTACATGGGCATGTGCATGGGCATGGGCATGGGCATGTGCATGGGCATGTGCATGTGCATGTGCATGGGCATGTGCATGGGAATGTGCATGTGCATGTGCATGGGCATGTGCATGGGCATGTGCATGTGCATGTGCATGTGCATGTGCATGGGCATGTGCATGGGCATGTGCATGTGCATGTGCATGGGCATGTGCATGGGAATGTGCATGTGCATGTGCATGGGCATGTGCATGGGCATGTGCATGTGCATGTGCATGTGCATGTGCATGGGCATGTGCATGGGCATGTGCATGGGCATGTGCATGGGCATGTGCATGCACGTGGCTCACCTGCAAGCCCATGTTAACAAGCATGACCACGATCCGAGGCAGCCCCTGCACCTGCAGCGAGTCAGACACTAACGAGGACAGGGACGCGGCCATGGGCAGGTTTAGGCGGTACGACACCCAGTCGCAGCGGCGCGCCTCTGCTAGGAGCGAGTGGATGGTGCGTGGCATGCTGCCCGCCACCTGGTGGGTCGAGTCGAGGGTGGTGTAGTGGGGAAGCGGAGGGAAGTGTGGTGATGGCATGGTGCTCAGGGACTGAGTTGATGGTGCGACTATTGAGATGTCTCAAAAATCGGGGGGAGGGGGAGATGTATGGAGAGAGTTGACGGTAGGCATGCTGCGTGCCACTTGGTGGGTCGGAAGGTGTGGAGGAGGGCAGAGGGGGAGGGGAAGTGGGAGGGGGGGGGCGGAGGCGGAGGGGGAGTGGGAGGGGTTTGGGGAAGTAAGCTAGGTGGGTTTTTACGGAGTAAATGGATGGTGCAAGGCATGCACCTTTTCAACAGTCAGCCGGCACACTGCGAGAGGAGTTCTTTATCGACTAAAAAAAGAAAAAGAAAAAGAAAAAAGCACAATGGCAGTCGATGAAGAACTCCTCTCGCAGTGTGCCGGCCGGCTCTTCTGGCAGGCACACATCGAAGCTCCTCTGGGAGAAGCTCCTCTGTTGAAGGAGCACCTTTATAGAGGGCAATTGACACATGACTTTTGAGCCGACTCAAAAGTCACCTCATTACACAGGGCTAACGACGCATTGAGGAAAGTGTGTGGGGGACGATGGAAAGTGGTGTGGAGTGAGTGGGGAGAGAGAAGGTGCAGGGGTGTTGAAGGAGTGAGAGAGGAGGGGGCATGAGGGAGGGAAGGGGCGGGAGGGAGAGGAAAGAAAAGGTTGAGGGAAAGGGAGAGGAAAAGGGAGTGGGCGAGAGTGAGGAAGAAGGAACGGGAGATGTCACCTGTGCAGCAATGGAGGGTGGGAGGCCCTCAGACGTCAGGTGCAAGGAGAAGAGGTCCCGAACCAGAGTGGCGGTGCAGGTGGTGGTGGGACTGGTGGGGGGCGGTGCAGTGTGGTGGGATGGGGTGTCACGGTTCTAGAAAGGGAGGGAGGAATGGGGAAGGGGAGGGGGTGGGGAATGAATGGGCGAGGAATAGGTGGGTAAGGAGATGCGAGGAGGTGCAGGTGCGGTGCGGGTGCAGGTGCGGGTGCAAGGCCAACATGCACTAGAGAGAGCCAAGCACCGGTCTAGCTCCCACACACTGTTCAGTGCATCTGCATCGTGCAATGGCCATCTGGATTCTGAACCCTCTCCTCTCCTCTCCTCTCCTCTCCTCTCCTCTCCTCTCCTCTCCTCTCCTCTCCTCTCCTCTCCTCTCCTCTCCTCTCCTCTCCTCTCCTCTCCTCTGAACCCCCTTCTCTCCTCTCCTCTCCTCTCCTCTCCTCTCCTCTCCTCTCCTCTCCTCTCCTCTCCTCTCCTCTCCTCTCCTCTCCTCTCCTCTCCTCTCCTCTGAACCCCCTTCTCTCCTCTCCTCTCCTCTCCTCTCCTCTCCTCTCCTCTCCTCTCCTCTCCTCTCCTCTCCTCTCCTCTCCTCTCCTCGCCTTGCCTTGACTTGCCTTGTATGCAATCCCTGATTGGTTCCTTGTCTGCTCGTCATAGCATCTTCTACCTCCCCCCCTCTTCTCTGTCCAGCACTCTCTTCTTTACATACCCACTGGACTGGACCCACTTCACCCACTTCACTCACCTCTTTCTCACACTCTGAATTTTGCTCCCCTTTTCCTTCTATTTCGTCCTGTTCCTCCTCCTCTTCTTCCCAAATCTCTCCCTCATTCCCCTCCTCCTCTTCCTCCCAAAACTCCTCTTCTTTCTCCTCCTCCCACCCCTCCTCCTCCTTTCTTGCTTCCTTTATCACCTCAACCCTTGCACGCTCTGCCCAGATACCAACCGCCCTCTCCTCCCTTCCCTCCTCCCTTCCCTCCTCCCTTTCCTCCTCCCTTTCCTCCTCCGTTCCCTCCCTCTCTTCCTCTACCTTCCCCAAGCCTATCCGCCTTCCCCAGCTTCTTGTAACTCCCTTTGCATCTTCCCCGTCTCCATTCTCTTCTCATTCCCCTCCGCCCGTCCTCCCCTACTCTCCCCCCGTACCCTCGCCATTCCTTCTTTCACCTCCTTCCCCTCCCCGTCCCGGCCCCTCTCCCCTTCCCCGTCCCTCTCCCTCTGCCCCTCCCCCTTCCCCGCCCCCTCCGCCCCCCCCACCACGTCTCCCCGCCTCCGCCTCCCCCTGCGCCGCCTCTGGGGCGCCTCAAGAGCAGCCTCCGCGCCTGCGCGCATTGTGACTGCGCCCACCACTGCTTCCGCCACTCCCTCCGCCTCCACCTCTACCACCAGGTCTCTCCGCCTCTGCCTCCGCCTGCGCCTCCGCATCTCCTCCTCCCGCCCCGCCTCCCGCGCCAGTCGCCCCCCCGCCATGACACCCCCCACCACCGCCTCCGCAGCAATCGCGGCAGCGGCGGATGGGCTGGCGGGAGGGGTGGCGGAAGATGTAGCTGAAGGTGTCGCGGAAGGGGTTGCGGAAGGGGTGGCGGAAGGGTTGGCGGAAGGGGTGGCGGAATGCCCCGCGTCATTCACACCAGTAGGGAAGGATCCAGCGGACGGTCGCGCGCCCTTCCGCGGCTGCGGCGCATCGGCGCGCGAGTGGGCCTCCTCCGCAAGGCGAGCCGCGCGCAGCCGGCGGACGCGCGGACCGCGTGCTGCTGCGGACCCGCCCTGCGGAAGCAAGCGGCAGTGGAGAGCATCCACGGCCGCGCCAGCCGGCCCCGTCAGCCGCCTCCCCCCCGCGCCGCACGAACGGTGCGGACAGTGCGGGAAGGGACCGGCGGGGAGAGGGAAATTGGCGCAAGCGGCCGGGAGATGGGGCGGAAGAGCGCGGGCCTGGGTATCGAGCGCGCGCGGGAGACTGAGGTTGAAATCGTTTGCGACGACGCCATACCGCATTGCGCGCCGGCGCAGGTTGCGGAATTGGCTACGAGGCGCCTCGCAGGTAGTAGCGTTTTAGAAATAGAGGTAGCACTAGCGGCGCTCGCTGTAAAACGGAGAGTTGCGAACTAGGAGAATGCGAATTCGAGAAGTCCGAATTGGGGAAGGTTCGAGCTAGATAGGTGCGAATCGGTGAGAAGCGAACAGGGGAAGTGCTAGCCGCGCCGCAGTGACCCAAAGCTGGTACACTCCCCTCGAGTCTATAGCCTAAACGTCCGGCGGTGGTGGGAGTATGCAAGGCGAGCAGTCACGGCACGGGAGACGCTTGCGCAGCTCTGAGCGGGAAACGGGGTCGTGCAGGGACGGTGTAAGTGTGAGATACAATGCAGGCTTGCGCCACCATGCGCCACCTTGCGAATGTATGCGCTCGCCTGAAAGCGAGAGTGCAGGATGGCTGGTTTTCAACGCTCCTGCTAGACATGTGCGCGCGCCGCGTCTCAAACCGAGCCCATTTCACTGTCCACATGCAGGTCTGCGCCGCCACCAGCCTCGCTTGGGCAAATTGACACTCTCTCCTCCGCTCTGCTCCTCTGCCATTCCGCCGCCCGGAACATGTGCACTGCAAAGCGGAATTCGTGTGGGCGTCTCGGTCTCCCTGCCTGCTGCTAAAAGCGGAGCTCTAGCAGGGACACAGGCAAATTGGTTGGTTTCCGTTCCGAGTGAGACTGTAATATCCTTCCAGCTTATAATAAAATATATTGAATTGTAGCTAACACATAACTTGGGAGCATTATTGGCTTCCACACAAAACAGGTAGGCTGGTGTCGGTATAATACACGGTGACCGCAATCTGAGCGGTCCTGGTAAAAATCTATCTATATCCTACAACCTCAAATCTAGGTCCACTTCATCTCCTTTTGGAGGCCCTTGCGTGCTATGCTGTGAACCCGGAATTGGATGATAAGGAGGATACCCTACACATGTACCCTCCATATGCATGTGAGCAGATAACATGCCGTGGCCCTTTGCGGATCGTGCTTCATATGTACCTTCCCCTGCTTCGGCAGCAGCAGCAGCAGCAGCAGGAGAAACAGCAGCAGGAGGAGCAGGAGGAGCAGCAGGAGCAGCATCATTTAGATCAAATGTTACACCGCTGCACAACCCCTGTTGCTTCCCAGAGCCACCCTCCACGAAGCTGCTTCTCTTAATCGCAGCGCCAACCCCCTCCCCCACCCTCTTCTCCTTCCCTCCTGCCTTCCCCTCGTGCACCTGTAAAGCTGCCAGCCCAGCACCTAGCACCTCGTTAGCAGCACCTTCACCACTAGCACGAGCGCGCACGTTCCTGTCACTGTACCCTGCACCAGCCCCGCCAACACACCCCTCCGCAATCCGCTCTCCATTGCTCACAGCCTCCTCAAACACCTCGCTATAAGTAGACGCGAGAGGCTGCTGGAAATACCTACTGGATCGCCTCAGCGTCCCCCCCCGGGCCGGAAGTATCCCCATTGCCCCCACGCCCGCGGCCACGCCCGCGCCCCCGCCTGCACGTGCGCCTGCGGTTTCCTCACTCCCCACTCCGCCGCTGTATACCCCTCCCCCCCGCCCGTGGCGCGCGTTCTCATGGTAACCGAGCGCGTGCAGCGAGGGGAACTTGAGGAAGCACGTGGGGCAAGCATACGGCCCGCCTACAGTACAGGACCCGAGATTCGCGGCGGTGGCGACGGTGGGGCTCAGCAGGCGCAGCATGTCTCCCGCGCTCATCCGCGGACGGGATACGGTGGAGCGGGGGCTTGGGGTGGAGGAGGCGGAGGCGGAGAAGCTAGAGCGGCGGAGCCGGCGGAATTCCGCCGGTCGGCCGGCTCCCCCGGCGGCGGAATCGTTCCGCGGAGTGCCGGAGGGGGAAGGGGTCGGGGAGGAGAGCATTGAGGACACTCGCGCTAGCTGCGCAATCGGGGATGGATGCGCTGTCGTCGCCGCTGCAGCTGAGGGGGAGGGGAAAGCATCGCCCGCACCCGGGATGGCGAGTGGCGGAACAGCGGACAGGTCGATGGTGGGAGCGCGGTGCATAGTAATGGTCCCGGGGGAGACGGGAATTTGCGGCGTTCTTTCCACCGCAGTGACACTGCGATGCAATGTTCTAGTAGCATTAACAGGACTATTGCTATTCGCCCTCGTCGTGGCTGCTCTACGAATCGCGGTGATGCCGCCGCAGCTGCCAGCGCCGCCGCTGAGGCAGGTGACGGCGTTCAGACCACTGCCAGCGGGTGATGCGGAGGCGCGTGGGACAGGATCGAGGCCGCGACGCCTAATTGGGCTCTCTGACTTGCCGAGCTGCTGCTGACTCAGATGATGCTGCATTAGATGCTGCTGTTGATGCTGATAAGCCGGGGCGCGGGCACCGGGAATGAAACGGGTTTCCACCGCGGACTCGACGAATTGTAGCGGCAGAGACTCCGCACGGCTCAGGAGAAGCGGCTCTCGTAGGGCAGCGACGTCGCGCTTTCGCTTGTTCTGCACGGCGACGCGATTTGGCTCGTCGCGCTGGGCGTCGCCGCCGCGGTGAGGAGCGACTTCGCTCTGGTGGTGAACGGGGGAGTCGTCGCCAATTTTCCCGCACTCTCCTGTGTCGCCACTGTAACGAAAGCGAGGGCTAGGTGAGCCTTTCTCGAAACTGGAAGTGTCAATCAAGCCTCTCTCAGCCATGTTCTCAATAATGCCGTAGAAGAGGGAAAGGCGCGAAGGGACGCAAAGAGGCGAGGCCATGTTACGAGCAAGCCACCTGCATGGACTCGATCGTTGCAAGGTTGGAGCTTGGGCTTCGAGGGACTCGGCGGTTGTCGAGCTCGATAGGGTGAGGTGCGTATGTGGAGCGTGAGCGAGAGGTGTCGAATGGAGGTGTGGAATGAAGCTCTCGAATCTGGCAAACCAATTTATGCTTGGAGTTGCAACATGGGCAAGGCCGAAGCATACGTGCGTTGCAGAGGGGCTTTTACAGAAATGTACTGAATCTGTATTATAGTTTTTCTTGTCGTTTGGTATGTCGGTATTATTGCTGGTTTGGAATCTCGAACGTTTTTTTTCGGACTTCAATTTTACCTGCAACTCATTCCCTGTCCCAGACAAGACGCATATTTGTAGAGGCTATATGGTTAGCTGCTGAATAATCCGCCATCATTATCTAGCAGGCGTGAGATAACTATTTCGCTTAAGAATAGCTGGCTAGTGCCAGTATGTATTTTGATCATTCTTTCCTTGGTTTGATAGACGTTGGTCTCTACATGGAATTATTCGTGTAAGCCTGTATTTGTCATCTGAAACTACAAACAGTCCAGTTGACAGTCAACATCATGCGGAACAATAGCTCGAACAACCCAAGGAAATGGGTCACCTGTTTGGGTCTGTTGTGTCAAAATCCCCTTTGAAAACAATGCGACGCGTTTTGTCAAGGTCATTTCAGCCCTATGATTGGCGAGAGCTAGCTTTCGGGAGAGAAAATCCATCCATGGAGAACCCAGAAGCTAGTCTAACCAATCATAGGCAAGGAAAAGCTCAAGCGCAACGCACCGCTCGATCCTTTGACTCGGCCTCGCCCGCCAGAATATTTGAGCTGTAACGGCGATCAGCCAAAAGCTCCTTCCTCAATGTGGACAAAAAATTCACAACGAGTGGTTAATGGAGCGTGTGGGAAGGCAGAAATGTTCCTGAACGTGCATGACTTTCAAGGTAACCCTCTCCCCCAGAACAGTGTTTGGCGGTATGGAGAATCAGTCTCACATCTACGGGTTTTTTTTTTATAGTCAATTGTGAGATTATAGCCTGCTGGATTCCTGCAATCTGAAGATCAATGAAGCTACAAATGCTTTTGAATAATATTACACAAGTGTGCAGATTTTTGTTCCAGGGTAAGTCTCGACAAATAGATGAAATCATCTTTGGAAAAGGACAAAACGCAACCGCACAACCTTTCCCCACCCAGATTTGTCGGGGCCCACCCAGATTAACTAACCAACTGCAACATTATCGACCGCCGTTACGACAATCCACGACGTGGCCTGGATGAACCGCGTCACGCCTCAGCAGTAGACCGAACGTGTAACGACTTGCAACAAAGATCCCCCCTGCGACGGTAACGGGAATGGTGCGTTTCTTTTGTTCAGTTCGAACGCCTTAGTTCTGTCGAACGCCTTTGTCCTGTCCCGTTGTGAGCTGTTTGAACATGTAAAAGCTCCAATAATACACAAAAGCCAAACAACAATGACAACTACATGAAGCATATGCAAACTCCACATACCTCACAATCTCAAACTCCATAAACCACCTTGTCACATGCCACACTCCTGTCTTGTGATGCTGAACTGTGCCAGCTTTGCTGCTTAGCACCAACGCATTATGTACGTGCCACAGTTTTCTACATTCAGCACTTGCTCAACCACATGCCACGTTTCAACATTCAGCACTTGCTCAACCACATGCCACATTTCTACATTCAGCACTTGCTAACCAACTGCGCTGCTGCGCATACAATCCCTCCAATATCTAGTGGTTTACCACAAGTCTCCTACGCAGCATTGCAAAATACACAGCATGGTAGAGCCTTAATATTGCAAGTAATCACCAGATTCTAGCACCTAAATGTGACTTAAGGAGGTGAGGGCAGCGCTAATGAGAAACACAGCAAAGAGCACCACCATGCATGTCAACTTCACATGAATGGACATGGGGTTTAGTGCTCGAATGGATGGCCCATGAATGCTGACCACGCCGCACAGGGGCAATTATCAACCAGCTAAAACAAGGATAGTTTGAAGTCAACCAAACCACACTCCTGTTACGGCAGCGGTGGTTGCAGCCATGTCACAGGCGGTGGTGGTGGCATGTCCGTGGCACATGCAGTGGGCTATAAGCCAAAGGTGGAAAGGCGGTGGCACTAAGTAGTGGACGAAGGTGTTCGGAAGAAAGTAGCAGCAGCAGCCTGGTTCTGAATAGATTGGGGTGTTGCAGTTGACTGGGACGCATGAAGGCGAGACCGGGACACAAACAGGCAGGGAGGGCAAAGATCAAGGAAGGGAGCTTGCGCATGCGCGGCAGGAGGGGCAGAGGCGGATAGGCGGAGGGGATGGAGAGGGGTGAAAGTGGGGAGCCTAATGAAGGTGGCACTAAATGGCGACACCAGGCAAATGGAGCTCCAATTTTCACTATCAGCAGCTGGTTAAGAAAGGGACTGTGGCAGACCTCAGCTGCAGCAATCTGAGCAGACTTTGTTTGCGTCTGTCGCATGGCGGCGTGGATGTGTGCGTGGGTGCGTGAATGAGTGAGCGAAGGATGAGAGCGAGGGAGAGAGCGAGAGGGTGAGTGGAGTCAGTCGTCGCCATCCGCGCCTTCTTGAGTGAGCGGCAGGAGCGACTTGACAACTGTGCCCATGGACGGCCGGAACTCCGCCTCGTACTGCACACACAGCGCTGCCAGAGCTGCGAACTGGGAGGGGGTGAGGGAGGGGAGGGGAATGACGGGAGGGCGAGGGAGAAAGAGATGGTTGGAAGACTGCCAATCCGCCTCGTACTGCTCACACAGCGCTGTCGCTGCTCGTCAACGGGCTGCGAACTGCACCAGAAGGGGTGGAGAGGAACGGAGGGAGGGGTGTTCAAGAGCTAATGATGGGGAAAAGTTGCAAATGGCAGGACCGACTTGACAACTGTGCCCATGGACGGCCGGAACTCCGCCTCGTACTGCACACACAGCGCTGCCAGAGTCGCGAACTGCACGAGGGACAGCAAACTGCATCAGGAGAGAAGAGGGAGTTAAAGGGAGAGAATCAATGACGGGAGGAAGGGCCAAGTGATGGCTGGAACTGTGTCTTGTGTCGCAGTGCTGGCGATGCTCTGGCAATGCACATAGCATTGTCAGCACTGCGATCTGCATAGGGGGGCGATGAAAGGAATCACAGTGAAGAATTGAGACATATAGTTGCAATCGGTTTGTGCGTGCATATACGCGCGCGCGCGCGTGTGTGTGTGTGGGGGGGGGGGGGGGGGGGGGGGTGCATGCGTGTGCCCACGTGCGAGTGTGCGCCCACGTGCGTTTGTGCAAGGCGTCCACTTCCCCAAGTCTCCATGTCTCTTCCTATGCCCTCCCCCATGCCCTCCCACCCCTTTCTATGCCCTCCCATGCCCACGCCCTCCCACGCCCTCCCATGCCCACGCCCTCCCACGCCCTCCCATGCCCCCCCACGCCCTACCACGCCCTACCACGCCCTACCACGCCCTACCACGCCCTACCACGCCTCTCTGTGCATGTGAGCGTGTGCCTTCATGCCCACCTTGACCACGGCCTTGGCAGGGAATGAGACTTTGAGCCTGGGGTCCACACAACAATGCTTAACTCTGTCCTCTGCTAGCCTCCCACACCCTCTCACCCCACACCCTCTCACCCCTCCCCTATACCTTCCCACGCTCCCCTGTGCGTGCCACTGCCTGCATGCCTGTCTGCCTGTCTACCCACCTTGACCACGGCCTTAGCAGGGAATGCGCTTTTGAGCTTGGGGTCCACACAATGCTTCACTCTGTCCTCTGCTAGCCTCCCGTGTGTGGCCTGGTCCTCGTGCAGGGGAGGAGGCGAGAGAGGGGGGGTGCGAGAGGGATGCAAAGAGAGGGGGTGAGAGAGAAAGAGGGGAAGGGAGGGGAAAAAGGGAAGGGGGAGATTGAGGAAGCAGGCACTAGTGGTGGGAGACTGTAACTTGAGGGGGCCAAGGGAAGACCATGTGATGGGTGGTAGGCATGGGCCAAACAGCAGCATGGGGAGCGGGAGGACTATCAGGGAAGGATAGAGAGGGCACACACACACACACACACACACACACACACACACACACACACACACACACCCATACACACAAAAAGGGACGTGCTCGCTCACCCATTGCACGAGCGACTGCTGGCCCGAGGCATGTTCTGGTCCATGGGCTTCCGTGTAATCCTTCCCCGCCTCCCTCTCCCCCCTCCCCCACCCACACACACGAGCGCGCGCAACACATGCACGGACTCACCCATTGCACGAGCGACTGCTGGCCGCGTGGCATGTTCTGGTCCACGGGCTTGCGCCCTGTGAGCAGCTCCAGCAGCACCACGCCAAAGCTGTACACATCGCTCTTCTGCGTCAGCTGCCCCACCGTCGCATACCTGCCATGGACAGTGAGAAGTGAGCAGGGTGAGAGGGCGAGGGAAGATGGGAAGAGACACAAGGAGTGGGCAGCTCTAGCAGCAGCACCACGCCAAAGCTGTACACATCGCTCTTCTGCGTCAGCTGCCCCACTATCGCATACCTGCCACAACGAGGTACCATGCCGCACCCGTGCCCGTGCCCGTGCCCGTGCCCGTGCCCGTGCCCGTGCCCGTGCCCGTGCCAGTGCCAGTGCCAGTGCCCGTGCCCATGTCCATGCCCATATTCATGCCCACACCAATGCACATGACATAACACGATGAGGTTAGCCACATTCCTGCTCCCTCATTCCCCATGACAATCACTCCCATCCCATCCCTCCCTCTCACCCCCGTCCCCAAACTCCTGCTTTCCACCAAACCCCTACCCCCCTTCCCACACCTTCCCCGAGCCCCATCGCCCCTCTCAATCCTGCTCCCCACTCCACCCCATTCCCACCCTCTCTCCTCATCTCCCCCCCTTTCACTCACTCAGGTGCGTTGTACCCAAACGTGCCCAGCACGCGGGCGGAGTGCAGGCGGGACGCCTGGTCCGGGGCCTCGTTCGCGACGTTGAAATCCGCGATCTTGGAGGTGAAGTCATCAAACACCAGCACGTTGCTAGACTTCACACCCTTGTGCACCATTCCTTCTTTCCCTCTATAACCCCCTTCCCTACCCTACAACTTCCCCCAGCCCCGTCGGCCCCCTTGCGCCCCCTTCAGGCCCACCATCTCCCCGCCCTCCCCTCCCAAACCCCCCCACTCCCCCCCTTTCACTCACTCAGGTGCGTTGTACCCAAACGTGCCCAGCACGCGGGCGGAGTGCAGGCGGGACGCCTGGTCCGGGGCCTCGTTCGCCACATTGAAATCCGCGATCTTGGAAGTAAAGTCCTCAAACACCAGCACGTTGCTCGACTTCACACCCTTGTGCACCATGTTCGCCTCCTCGTGCAGATAGGCCAGTCCTGTCGCCGCTCCCAGAGCAATCTTCATGCGCTGCTGCCAGGAGAGCGTGATGGGCGCTTCGTCCGTCTTGATTGCTAGCTTCCGGCCTGCCAGGGGACGGGGGAGATGGGGAGACGGGGAGGTGGGGAGGGGGAAGGGGAGAGAGGTTGCAGGGAAGCGGGGAGAAAAGGGGAAGTCATGTGAGCATGATGGGTGCTTCGTCCGTCTTGATTGCTAGCTTTCGGCCTGCCAGGAGACGAGGGGGGAGAAGACGTGCGGAAGGGAAGGGAGGGGGTGCAGGGAAGGGGGTGGGGATGGGACAAGGGAACCGGGCACGAGCATTCGGGCAGATAAAGAGGCAGGAGGGGGAGGTAGAGGTGGGGGAGGGTGGTGCGGTGGTTAGGTGAGGGAAGGACATGGCGTTACGAGTGGGCCACAGAAAAACATGCTGCGTGGAAGCAACAGGAGCGGACGGAGAAAAGGGCCCACCAGCGGGAGCAAGGGAGAGGAGATGGCAGTGAGATGAGACATACAGAGCATGTAAGAGACCGGAGCAGAGCAGAGCAGCACAGAGCAGATCAGAGCAAAGCAGGGCGGAGCAAAGCATGGCAGAGAGCACAAAGCAGGGCAGGAAGCGCGAAGCAGGGCAGGGCAGGGAACGCACCGCGCAGGATGTCGTGCAGGCTGCCGTGCTCCGCGAGCTCGTACACGAGCACTCGCTGCGGGCCATCACAGCAGAAGGCAAGCAGTGCCAAAACAGAGCAGAGCGGTGCAGAGCAGAGGAACGCGGGGCAGGGCAGAGTGACGCACCGTGCAGGATGTCGTGCAGGCTGCCATGTTCCGCGAGCTCGTACACGAGCACTCGCTGCGGGCCGTCACAGCAGAAGGCCATGAGCTCCACCATGCCTGAGTGCCGCAGATTGCTCGCCACTGCCACCTGCACCACGCGTAGGCAGAAGACGGAGAGAGAGAGAGAGAGAGAGAGAGAGAGAGAGAGAGAGAGAGAGAGAGAGAGAGAGAGAGAGGGAGAGAGAGAGAGAGAGAGAGAGAGAGAGAGAGAGAGGGAGAGAGAGAGAGAGAGAGAGAGGGAGAGAGAGAGAGAGAGAGAGAGAGAGGAGAGGGGCGCGAGGCAGGACAAGAACCTTTGAGTTGACTTGAAGGCCGTGCGTGAGCTCCACCATGGCCGAGTGCCACTTACTTGCACTTTTCCATCTGTATAGATTCACCCCATAGCACACCCTTCCCTCCTTCACTCCTTACTCATCATCTTCGAATAACATTGGCATGTTACTCTAATTTTCAGTTGTTCTAGCACTCACTCACTCCCTCCCCGACTGTGATCTCATCTCGCACTCCTGACTTGTGTAACGCCTCCGAAGTTACATCGCACTCCTCACTCACTCTCCGTGCATACTCTGCCTGCTCACGCTACCCACTCTCCATTCAATCGGGGAAACCCTATCTGTATCACGCTAGTGCCCGCACCCATGCCATTCTTTCCCCGGTACGCTTCTTCTCCCTTGGCCGCCTCACTCTACTAACCCAACTCTTTTCTCTCCATTCTGTAACGTCCACTTTTCATACCACCTCACAGCCAATCAGACTTAGAGGCGCCCTCAAGGACCAATCAGACCATTTACCTCTTCACTGTTCCTTTCTTCCAAAAACGCTTCACTCTTTCAAGCCTCTCTCTTTCACACCACTTTCTTCCCAGAGACGCATCTCTGTCCCTCCTCCCTCCAACCCCCACCTCTTTACCTGCCAACACCGCATTCAACTCCTATTCCTGGACTGACTTCCACAGCACTTCCGACCCAAACATCCGGCTTTCCCCCATCCCCTTGCCCCATCCCCTTGCCTCCCTTCGATTTCCCCATTTCCTTCCCCCATCCCCTTCATCCCATCTGCCTTCCCCGTCACGCCTCCCCTGATCCCCTTTTCCTCATCACCTCCCCCCCTTCCCCTTTGATCTTTCCCCCTTCCATCTCATCTCATCTTATCTCATCTCAGTTCATCCCTTTCCACCTCCCCCTAGAGTCTCTTCCTCCCTCATTTCAATCTCCATCCATACCTTCCTCCTCTTCCCCCATCTCTTTCCCTTTTCTCCACTCATTCCCCCCTTCAACCCCCGCCGCTTACCCCGTCTAGGATCTCCTACTCGGGCTGCGTGAAATGAGACGAGTTTTAAGGCGCCTGAAAACTCGACTTCCCCTCTCCCCTCCCCTCCCTTTTCCTCCCCCCCCTTCCCTCTCACCCGCACCTCATTTAGGAACTCGGTTTCAGGCTGAAAGTTCGCGTGGTAATAGCCGGAGGTAATTTTGGGCCGACTAAAGAACAAAAATATATTAACTCACCCCGTCTAGGAACTCGTCCTCTGGCTGCGACCCCGCGTCGAGCTTCTTAATCGCCACGGCGCGCCCGTTAAGGTCGCCGCGGTACACGCGACCGAAGGAGCCCTCGCCCAGCATGCTCGAAGGGTTGAAGTTGTTGGTCATCGCCTTGAAGTCCGCGATCGTCATCCGCGGAACAGACACCTCCGAGTTCCGCGCGCCGCCGGCCGAGGGTTTCGGCGCAGTGGCTGCACGCGGAGGGGAAGCCCGGGGGAGGGGGAAAGAGGCGGGGAAGATGTGGGGGGAAGAGGGGGAGGATGGAGTCAAGAAAGGAAGGAGGGAGATGAGAATAAGGGTAAGGAAGAATGGGGGAAGGGGGAAGCGCGGGGGGATGTGGGCAAGGGGGAGGAGGGGAGGATGGAGGGAAAGAAGGAAGGAAAAGGAAGGGGGATGGGGAGAGCCGGTGAAGGAGGGAGAAGGGGGGAGGGGAGGTGCGGCAGGTAAGCGAAGGAAACCGGAGGGTGGTTGGGGAGGAGGGCGCATGTAAGGTGAGGGTAAGATGAGGGGGTAAGGTTAACCAGGGCTCGGGAAGAAACAAAAACGAGGGGAAGCGGAGAAGAGGAGAAGAGGGAAGGAAAGCAAGGCATGACGCGCACGTGGTAGTGCGATTGGGGAAACTAGGAGGAGAAGCGGAGGAGAAGAGCGAAGGGAGCTAGGTCCGCTGATAACGGAAGGCAGCGGCGGGGGAATAAGCAGTGCAGCGACGAAAGCACGCGGAAACGGTACGGAAGGAGATAAAAAACGGTGGCGTGAGGCAACCAAAGCTGAACCACGAGTGCCGCAGCGCGGAATGCGTCGACTGGACGGCACGCCAAAGCGAGAGAGTCCGAGCCTAATGTGGCGACGAGTCAGAAACAGAAAACAATTGGAAGGTGGCAGAGCCTAACGTGGCGGGCACTGTGGACGCAGCGTGGTGGCGAGTCGGAACATGTAGAGAGCCGACAGAGCTTGACGTAGCGAAAAGCGGTGACCTTTGAGTTGACTTAAGAGGCACCTCGTTACAACGCCGCACGAATGCTGTGCTACGGAATGCGGTTGGGGGAAGGCAGAGTTAGAGAGGCAGAGGGAGCTGGACCCAGGGGACGTGGCGGGCGAGGCGGACGCGGCGGATGGGGAAGGAGAAGAGGGTGCAACAAGGACGAGGTGAAGGGAAGAGATCGAGAAGAGGATGAGGACGAGGAAGACGGAGTTAAGACTGGAAAGTAAAAGGGATAGACGCGGATTATAAGATCTTTAAAGCTACTCCAAAATAGTCGGGCGCGCATGACGATTTTAGGAAATAGGTGACATTGCATCGCCTTTAATATAAGGAACGGAGGCGGGACCACGGCGCGGTGTGGGATCCATTCACTCTGCGACAACCGTGACGCTTTTAAGAAGGCCGCCGACTTTGTCACAACCCTAGAACTCGTGTTGTGATAGCAATGCTGCTCTGATGTATGATTACCTTGATACTCATTTCAACATGTGATGAACTTTGGTGCTCATTATAGACTCGAAACACCTTGCAACTTCTGACTTCGATTCACATTAAACACTCATAACTAGCTGAAAACAAGGGTTGAATGAGCCAATGAACGAGGCAGTAACTTACCCGGAACTCCAAACCAGGCCAAGATCCAATTTCCAACGGTCGAAAGGCTTGTCGGCCACGAGCAAAGGTACGAAAGAACGAGAACGAACGAAACACGGCGAAAGAAGGAAGGGATATAGTGTGAGCGCGACGCACCTTTTGCAGCCGCAGTGACATCGTATGGATCGCTGATCGCCTTGCTGGAGAAGCAGCCCATGGCGCCTTCAGTTCAGGCCTCCACCCCGCGGAAAGAAAGAGCCAATGAGCCGCGACAGTAACGTGGCAACGCTTGCTCGGCGTTGGCTGCGCTGCGCTGCGCGAGCGAATCAAGGTGTGCTTCGCGTGATGCTTGCTTGCGGGGGTCACCGAGGCCACGGGCGACGCTACAACGCGGGTACCACGAAGTGACAGCGGGAACTACTGACGGGAGGGTGAATCATGAGATCAGGATTATTCCTTTACTCTGCCGCATGGTTAACTAACTCTGCGGTGGGATAAAACGATTAACGAATTTGGTCCTACAAAACCGACAGTCCGGATACGCCAGATTAACGAGTCGAGACTTAATAGTTTACCCTCACTAGGCGAGACAAGGAACAAATCAGGCAGACTCAGGCGACGACGCCATGATCCTCCTGCTTGCACGGAAAGCCGTTGACCAAGCTAACGTCAGTCACTAAGCAACAAACAAACCTGACTTTCTCCTGACTGGCAGTCCCAAAACCTAGAAAGTATCTAGATAAAAGAATAGAGTTGCTAACAAGTCCCTAGGTGCAGCATTGCAAGTTTGGGAATGGTGTGTGTGATTTCAAATCGTCAGCGCACTGCATCGTACCATGACTTTCTAGAAACTACTGAACCGTGTTAAACCACTCAGTGTCTCGCGAACCTTGTTGAGCACTCCCAAGGTCCACCACCATCACACACCCTTCCAGAGGACCCACTTTTCTGGAACCACCGACAAGCAGGAGGAAAGAGATCAAGGACTAAGAAGTTTTGAGAGCGGTTGAAACTGGCACAATAAGGTTCGCTTCGGAGTGAGAAACACGTCGGATGTGCAAGAATGACCACCGAACCAGTAGTATCCGGCTCGGCCAGTAGTACTGTAGTACTGGCTTGGTAGAATGTCTCCGCAGGTCGGGCGGCTCGGAGATGTGCTCGCTGATCTGGTTCGTGCTTCAACTGGCCGCTGTTCTCCAACATCGTGTCTACGCCAATAGCGATACTTTCACATGCCAATTGTTCTTGGGTGAAATAAGTCCAACAAAAAAGAGTAACGGTATATCAACTCTGCTGCTCCCAAATATATGTTGTTCACTGCTTTTGCTCAAGTGACTGCAGAGAAAATACCTACTATCTGTAGGAATCTGAGGATAGACTACTTCTAAAAGGACCCGCAGAAAGGTGGTACGGTAGATCTGCTCCAATTGCAGCCCTGCGTGAGGCTCTGTTCTATTCGGACTCTTTCCTAATGTCACTTCAAGTAGACCAAAACAAAGCCTCAGATCAGACCAGACACAAAATGCACGACGGGTGCAGCCATGGATAGCAATATCTCCACCTCTCTTCCACAACACTAAAGTCCAGCCTCACTCCACAACATCACTCACATAATTGTGCATTCTCCCATCACCTTCACATGCATTGATTCACATTCCCACCCACCCACGGCGGGGATGGGGGATGGGAGGGAGATGGGAGCGGAGTGGAGAATGGGGGCGGCGGATGGGGGCGGAGAATGGGGAGGGGGAATGGGGGCAGGGGATAGGGGTGGAGGGTGGGAAGGGGGTGGGTGGGGTGCAGGAAAAGGCTAGACCGAGGACGAGGCTTGTGGAGAGCAAAGAGCAAATTACCTGCAAATGAGACGTAAAGATAGCCCCCCCACGTTACTCTCAGTGGATTTTGTGCGGGGAGGATGGCAGGAGGAACGACAACAGCAGCAGTATGGCAGCACTGGATCGAATGCTCAACTTTTTGCCACTGACACAACAGCAGCAGGAGCAGGAGCAGGAGCAGGAGCAGGAGCAGGAGTAGCAGCAGCAACAGCAGCTACCCAGGTCAGAAACAGCAACGGATTCAGCATCGTTTCCTTCCACCCAGGTATGGTACCACAATCTGCAACCAGGAACATTTTCAGCTACGAGAATCAGCATCCAGGGACATAAGTCAGCATCCAGCAACAGTTTCGGCTAGCAGGTTCAGCATCCATCCAGCTACCAGCAAGCAGCAACCCGCATCCAGCATCCAGCATCCAGCAATCAGCATCCAGCTATCAGCATCCAGCTACCAATTCCAGCAACAGCTACGGAGCCAAGGCGGTAGCCAAAAGGCAACCTGCCAGCACAGGGTGAGCAACCATGCCACCATGCACGTTTCGTACTGGTCTGGCGTGCCTGTCAGTACTGGTAACACGTAATGCTAGTGCCGGCAATGGTGCTAGTGCCGGCAATGGTGCTAAACGAACACTGCTTGCAGCTATTGTGTGCCCAAGTTAACATAAGCAAGAAGCTGAGATGCCACTAGCATCAGGAGGAGGGAAGGCAGAAAACGAGGCAAGGAAGGGGAGAGAAGGTGCGAAAGCAGCAACTGGCAAGGCGGACATGGATAAAAGGGGAGAGCAGTGAACGGAAGGAGATTGCCAGAATGAGAAAGGGAGAAGCAGAGGCAAGAGGGGAGCTGGCAGGGGAGGGAAGAGGCGCGGAAGGAGGGAGCATGGGCAGCTAAAAGGCTAGAAGGCTGGAATTCAAATCTACATCGTAGCCTGCAGAAGCATGTAAGGTCTTCCAGAGATTCCAATGTGATCCTGTGCTTCCTTCCTGCAGGAGAGGAGGGACGGAAACACACAGGGAAAACGCAGAAGAGGCCTTCAATGTGCGTGCATGCGAGCTGAGGAATAGGCAGCATTGAATGTTGAAACGGAGGGCGAGGGAGAGACGCTATTGCGCAGGACTTTACTTGCGCCAAGTGACTGTGAAAAAACAAGGGAGTGCTTCTGTCACTGACTGCACTGCTGCTACTACCATTCCTTTAGCTGTAAGGAGCCTGGGAAGTGCCGCACGGGCTGTAACAGTCCAGGCTTACAGGCTCACATACGGCGTGCTAGCAGAGAGAGAGGATTACAAGGAGCATGATGAAGCGGGAGTATGTGCAGGGAGAGGGCGTCTAGTCGTCGTCAAGTCATGGCCCTCGTGATCGTGGTCAAACACACTGTCCTGCGCTGCTGCTGCGCTGTGAGGCACCTCAGAGTTCAAACCAAACGAATGTTTGCAGAGGCAGAAGCTTACAAGTGGCATGATGCAGAGACAGAGTGTGTGTGTGAAGAGGGCGTCTAGTCGTCGAGGCCCTCGTGTCAAACACACTGTCCTGCGCTGCTGCTGAGCTGTGAGGCACCTCAGACTAAACGACATGTTTGCAAAGGTGGGAGCTTACAGGAGGCATGGTGCAGAGACGGAGTGCGTGAGGGAGAGTGCGTCTAGTCGTCGAGGCCCTCGTGATCGTGGTCAAACACACTGTCCTGCGCTGCTGCTGCCTCGTCCACATCCTCCTCCTCCCTGCTCACAATCATGCCCCGCATGCACATCATGCCCCGCATGCACAGCATGCCCCGCATGCCCCCATGCCCCTCATGCCGTCCATGCTCCCATGCCCACCACGCTCCCCCACAACAATAGCACAAAAGCGAGGAGAGCAAGAGTCAGTGGAAAAGGGCGGGAGAGAAAGAGAGAGAAAAGAGGTGTGTGGGGGGGGGGGGGGAGAGGGCAGGGGTGGGGGGGAGGAGTAGAGAAGAGATAGGGATTTACACCACAGATGCTACAGCAGCACTGTCTGCCAAAGCACGGGGTACAGCACCTAAAACTTGCACCCCTGCGAACATAGGCACACCACCACTAGGGAACGAACGCTCACCGCTTGACATAATCGTCATCGTCATCCTCTGCGCGGGCCTTCTTGGCTGGCCTGTTGGGGGGTGAAAGGCGCGATTCAGGAGGGCGGAAGCAAGATTCGGGAGAGCAGATGGCGGAAATCAGGCAGGTAAGTATTATGAAGGGGTTGAAGGCGGTATTTTAGTGGGTAGAAGGTGGTATTTAGGGGAGTAGAGTAGATAGTCAGAATCACATGGGTTTTGAGAGAAAAAGGGATCACGGGGTTGATAGCTCAGGGTTTGCAAGTGCTGCGTGAAATAACAAGTGATCGCAAGTGAATCGGGCGACTGACAGGCCAAAGCATGTGCAAGACACCCATGCACGCATGCGTGCACACCCAAAACCGACACCCACGCACACCCGCACACACCCACACCCACGCGCGCGCGCGCGCGGGTGGGTGTGAGGGGACGAGGGCAAGACGTGCGCGGGAGAAGGACGAGCCTCTCAGAGCAACGCTGAGAGGACAGCAAGGCTGTAGAATACTCATATTGAGAACGGAAACCAGAAGGATGGACGCATTTGCATTGCAACAAACCAGTGTTCCTCGGCCTGAACCTAACCTGCCAGCGCCCCCACCCCCCCTCACCTGCCAGCACCACTCCTCACCTGCCGGCACCGCTCCTCCACATGCCAGCACCGTTCCTCACCTGTCAGCATCTGCACCAGGAGATCCATCCTCCCTTGCACTTCCATTCGTCTTGCCCTCCGCCTCCTCCCTCCCACCACTCTCTTGCTCCTTCTCCCCCTCCTTCTCCACGCCCTTCCCCTCCCCATCACCAGAGCCACCTCTTCCCTCCGATCCTTCCTTCTCCCTCCTCCTCTCCCTCTCCCTATCCTTCTCCCTCTCCTTCTCTTTCTCCTCTGCATCATCATCTTCATTATCAGAATCATCATCTCTCCTTCTGCGCCTGCCCCTCCGCCCCCCGTCATCCTCCTCCCTCTCTCTCTCCCTCTCCTTCTCCCTCTCATCCCTCTCCTTCTCCTTCTCCCTATCGCCGTCCCTGTCCCTACCCCGTTCCCTATCCCTATCCCTGCTCCTCTCCCTCTCCCTCTCCCTCTCCCTGCCCCCATCACGGTCCCGATCTCTTCCCCTCTCCCTCTCCCTTTCCCTCTCCCTCTCACCACCCCTATCCCTATCCCCCTCCCGACCCCGCTCCCTCTCCCGCTCATATTCATGCCCTCGATACTCCCCACCTCCCCGATACTCGCCCCGCCCCCTATAATCACCTCCACCCCCACGGTACCCCCCAACGTCGAATCCCCCCCCTCTATAACCACTGCGGCGGTAGTCCCCTACCCCCCCACCACCGCCGCCACCGCGGTAATCCATGCCTCCCCCCCCGCCCCGGTAGTCCATAGGAGGGCCGCGGGTGTCGTGGTATGGGCGGGGCGGGTAGGGACGGTCATCGTATCTGGGGAGAGAAGGGCGAGGGGGATGGAAGGAGGAAGCCAATTCTCTAGTATTTTCAAAAGTAATATCACGATGCATGGGCATCATATTTTGGAGAAGAACGGAGAGAGGTACGGAGGGAGCAGGGGAGGAAGAAGGAGACGAAGGAAGGAAGAGAATGGCCCTTGAAGAGAAGTTCCGCGACCGACGCGGGGTATGGGCAGAGAGAGAGGGGAAGGGGGAGAAAATTTGCACGGTCAACGCACCGAACGGGGAAGGGATGGGGGATGGGAAATGTATGAAGATCCCAGATGCAAAGCTGATGCGAAAACGGAAAGAAAATAGAAGAAAAAAAAAGGCGAAGAAGAAGAAGCACACACACACACACACACACACACACACACACACACACACACACACACACGCACGCACGCACGCACGCACGAACGCACGCACACACACACACACACACACACACACACACACACACACACACGCACACGCAAAAGCGGAGGCATTCTTATTCTAGGCGGAACCCAGGCGGAGCTAAGCGGCACATACCCTCGCCTGACATAAGGCGGCGGACCAGGGGGAGGCGGATTGCCGATGTCCTTGATAAGCCCTTTCTCACTGCCAAACAATGGGGAGACAAGACAGGGGGAGAAGGGGTCAAGGGGGTTGCGTGCGTGGGGTGGGAGAGGGAAGGGGAGGGAAATAAGGGAGAAAGCAAGAGATGGAACGCGAGGAGGGATTTGGACAAGAAAGGAAAACGAGAGGACGGGGTGAGGAAAAGGGGGGGGGTGGGGGGGGGAGGGGGGAGGGAGAACGGGGAGGGGGGAGGGGGAGTTAACTGTAAACCGAGGGAGGCAGAAGGGTAGCGGAGAAACAGTGTGAGACTCTGGAAGGCGCTTGATGAGAGGCGAAGGGGGCGGTGACGTTGGGTGCGGAAGTGGCGGTGGGTGCGGAAGGGACGGTGGGTGCGGAGTAGGTGAAGACATTTGCAAGAGAGAAACTTCAGGCGAGCGAGTGATGGTGGGTGGCTCACATCATCTCCCTGCCTTCCACCCAACCCTAGTCCCAAATACCCCCCCGGTCCCAGTCCCATACCCATCCCCAGCCCCAGCCACAGCCCCATACCCATCCCCATCCCCATCCCCATCCCCATCCCCATCCCCATCCCCATCCCCATCCCCAGCCCCATCCCCATCCCCAGCCCCATCCCCATCCCCATCCCCATCCCCATCCCCATCCCCATCCCCATCCCCATCCCCATCCCCATCCCCATCCCCAGCCCCATCCCCAGCCCCATCCCCATCCCCATCCCCATCCCTAGTCCCAGAGTGCACGCGTGGCAGGTGACTCACATGATCTCCTCGTTGCGGCCGTACTTGGCGAATTTCACCATGATCTCCCTACCGTCCACCGTGCGACCTGCAAGAGCAGGAGAGCAGCGGGAGCAGCGGGAGCAGCATCGGGAAGAAGAAGAAGACGAAGAAAAGAAAGAGCAGTTCAGATTCCTGTTGGGAACTGAAGAAGCAAGAGACGTGGCCAAAGGAAAGACCATTCGCATGCACACAACACAGCACACGGCAGACGGCACATAGCACGCAGAGCACAGCGCACAGCACGCAGAGCACAGCGCACAGCGCACAGCGCACAGCGCACAGCGCACAGCACGCAGAGCACAGCGCACAGCACCGCGCCTCTACAGCCTGCGACACGGCATAGTCCGACACCCAGACGCCAGGCAGGCCACAACACTTTCTCCCGAACGCATCGTAGAACAAAAACACTCCTAGAAGCTTCGACGAACGCCGACATCCTAGATAGAGCGCCTTAAGAGCCTCTCAGGAAGGAGGGCCGGCCTTATGCGCGCGCCCCCTCCCCTCAGAGCGGCTTCAACAGCCAGCCACGCACCGTCGAGCTTCTCAACGGCTCTGGCGGCGTCGTCCTCGCGCTTGAAGCGCACGAAGGCGAAGCCGCGCGACGTGCCGGTCCTGGTGCGCGGGATGGGGACGAGAGAGCAGGTGATAAGGGAGGTGCCATGGGAGGAAAGAAGGGAGACGACGAGATGAGAGCGGAGTAGACACGGGACGTGAGAACAGAAGGAAAGAAAGAAAGGAAAAGAAAAGGAAAAGAGAAGGAAAAAAAATCAAACAAAAAAAACAAAAAAAGAGGGTTCCGCGAAGGCTTTGTGTGTCATAGACACTAGTGCCTCACCGCGCGATCTAGTAAACAAAGTCGTCGATACCCCCTGGCGAGTCGACTTAAATAGTCATCGAGATCGCGAGACGGAATAAGGACGTGATAACATGAAAAGGGGGGGAGGGGAGGCGAAAGGGGAGGCGGAGGGGAGGCGAAGGGGGAGGCGGAGGGGAGGCGAAAGGTGAGGCGGAGGGGGAGGTGGAGGGGGAGGCGGAGGGGGAGCGAGAGGGGGAGGGGGAGAACGAGAAAGCGGTTAGGAGAAAGAAGGGGGGAGGGGTGGGTGGGGAGGAAAGGGACGGTCACCTCTTGTCCCTGGGAATGAAGACATCGACCACCTCGCCGTAGCGCGAGAACATGGGCAAGAGTTCATCGCTGGTTGTGCCTGGAGGAGAAAGGGAAGGTCAAGGGAGAAAAGAGGGAGAGGGATGAGGAAGGACGGAGTGAGGAAGGGAGGAGTGGGAAAGGGAGTGAGGGAGACCGGCAGAGGCAACAGCGGAGGGAATTTTTTAGTCGACTCAAAAAAAGGAGGACGGAGTGAGGAAGGGAGGAGTGGGAAAGGGAGTGAGGGAGACCGGCAGAGGCAACAGCGGAGGGAAGACGTGGATCCGAAACAGCGGGTTGCTGAAAAAGACGCTTGAATCGCCGAAATAGAAACTGGGGTTAGAAGCGCCTAGTCAGCGGTGAAGCGACGGTCAGATAGGGTACAAAACGCGGTGTATTACGGAAGGGCGCGGTGTCTCAGGAAAGTAAGCGGCCGTGTCTTACGGAAGGTGATGTTGAGCACAAGCAACGAGTATGTGTCGCGAATATCGGGAGGCGGCCGTCGCATCATCGTGGCGAGCGACGCGAACAGATGCGGAAGGAGTTATTAACCGACTACTAGACAGGAGCACGAATCGCAGGAACGAGGCGGGTGGGTATTGCACTAATCGCTGATACTAATTGCCGTGCAACAAGCAAGCAAGCGAGCGGACCCTAACAGCCGTGTCATGTGACTGCAACGCGGAACCAATCAGATCTATCCAGGAAATCAACAGACAAGGCGGAGAAAGTTTCAACCGAACCCTAGTGGGTGAGCCCCTCTGCTCGCCACAGCCGATCAAGATTCTTGAGATTTTGAGATAAAGTGGAAATTATACCGGTGCTGAGCGGTGAAATGAAATGTGGCTTCTTCCACGAAGCAGTTACAGTACCGAGTGATCTCTTTTGTATGTATACATACAGATGTGAGACAGATTTGACTACATTTGGGCCCCCCTGTGGCCTCGCCACAACAGTGCTGCGCCTGGCATGTAGGACCTAACTAAGCCTTCAAGATGCTTCTAGAGCACACAAACCCTGCTACAGCAACTGCACAGTAAGGCATGCACCAGATGAAATTGCTCTCAAACAGCTGCATTTAAATTTTCTGTAGAATGCTTGTATCATACTCAGTTCCCTTCCACCTTTCAGGATAGTTCTACTAGCATCTTGTGATTGCTTTATAGAGCCTTTTCAGTCACGTTCCTTCTAACATGCTGTAGCACCACAGCCTCTCACTCCCTCCTCTCACCTTCCCCTTCCCCATCCACCTGCACCTCCTCCAAGACACACGTGCAGTGAGCAGCGATGGCAAGGGAGACGTGCTGCTGTAGTTGCCGCAGAAAGTCAGAGGACATGTGAAGAGGAGTGAAGCCTCTTGACAGGTCAGCTGGTCGTGTTGGCTCGGCAGCACTTTGTGAAGAGGCTGCTTCTGCTGCTGAGTTCTCTTGCTGCTGATGCTGCTGTGAAGGAGGAACAAGAAGGGGGGGATATGGGATGTGATGTCATTTAAAAAAACTGCGCCATGTTAAACCTCAGCTACAAGCCACATGCCCCTTAACCCATGCACACAATGCACGATCGTGCCCCACTTGCACAACGCCACATGCATCATGCCCCTCGCATCATGCCATGTGGTTGACGCCCCACGCCAAATGCCCGACGTCCCATGATACAACCCAGGGGCCCCATGTACCCTTCCCATGCTCCATGACCCCTGCCCCATGTTTTGAGTCGACTCAGAACTAGCCCCATGTACCCTTCCCATGCTCCATGACCCCTGCCCCATGCCCCTTCCCCCCTGCCCCCTGCCCCCTGCCCCATGCCCCATACCCCATCCCCCCTGCCCCCTGCCCCATGCCCCATGCCCCAAACCCTGCGCCCCATGCTGCCCCTTCACCTTGCACGTGCCTGGGGGGAGGGCAGCAGGAGGGTATCGAGGGGCAGCAGCAGGCGAGAGGTGCTGCTGATGAACGCCCCCTGCCACTTGTACGCCTCACCCACCTGCGGTGCCCTCAGCTGCACCGGCACGCCTGGGAGGAGTAGAGGGGTGATCGGTGTGTGCAAGAAGGGGAGGGAGAACGGGGTGCAAGATGAGTGGGATGGGGAGACACGAAGTACAAGATGGAGGGGAGGAGGGAGGGAGAGAGGGGGAAAAACTGTTGTGGATGTCATGTCACCTTGTTATAATGTCTGACCTTTTAACACCGCCTGCCCTTGCTCTATTGCCTGCCCTTGCTCTATTGCCTGCCCTTGCTCTATTGCCTGCCCTTGCTCTATTGCCTGCCCTTGCTCTATTGCCTGCCCTTGCTCTATTGCCTGCCCTTGTTCTATTGCCTGCCCTTGCTTTATTGCCTGCCCTTGCTCTATTGCCTGCCCTTGCTCTATTGCCTGCCCTTGCTCTATTGCCTGCCCTTGCTCTATTGCCTGCCCTTGCTCTATTGCCTGCCCTTACTCTATTGCCTGCCTTTGCTAGTCCCTGACCTTGCTGCTGGCAGACAGAGAGGATGAGGGAGCGAATGGTGCCTTTGAGCACGCCCTCCTCTGCTGTCACCACCACACCGCCTGCCTCCACCTGCACACATGCCAGGGGCCAGCAAACACATGCAATGCATCATCACGCACAGTCAAACACACAGGCGATATGATTGGTGCAAGCAGCGGAGGAACAGGGGAGGGGCAGGGGATGAGCGAATAGTGCCTTTAAGCACACCCTCCTCTGCTGTCACTGCCAAGCCAAGCCCCCTGCCTCCACCTGCGTGCATTGGCAACAGAGACACATGCAGCATCGAACACAGTCAAACACACGGGCGATATGATTGGTGCAAGCAGGAAGCGAGCAGGGGAGGAACAGGGGTTAAGCATCGGAGAAGGAGGGGAGCAGGGGAGGAGGAAGGGTAGACGCAAGTGGGGCAGCAGGGAGGGAGCAGGGGGCGACGCAGGGGCGGGGAAGGGGGATAACCAGGGGCGGGGGGGGGGGCGGGAAGGAGCAGCAAGGAAGTTGCTTATGCCACCCTCCATAACCGAGTTTCACGAGTTGTCTCAAAGTGAATGTGGGTATTACGTGCATCTCAGCTCAGAGCTCACCGCAAAGAAGTTGCTGGTGCTGCCCTCTAGAACACTGCCGTCACTGTCCACCAAAAGAACCTCCTCCGCCCCCTGCTGCCTCTTCACCTCCTCCAGTGCCGCCCTCTCCCTGCATTGTCATGCCATGCCATGCCATGCCATGCCATGCCGTGCCATACATGCAGTGCCATGCCATGCAACAGAAGCACAGAGGGCCACGAATGAAGAGAAAAAAAGGGGAGGTGACGGGGCGGTCTAGGGAGTGTGATTCTCAGTGCTGAGCAGTGTTTTGAGGAGCCTTTTGAGGAGCCTTTTGAGGCGCCTCAAAACACAGCGAGCGTGGTTCTCAGTGCTGAGCAGCGGCCGAGCAAGCAATGTATGTGAAGAGCCAGAAACACCACCACCCGTCCATCCATCCATCCATCCATTTGATGTGAGGACACCAGCAGTCATTGTTTCGTGATCATGCATCAAGTGACTGACTACACGTCCCACCATGGGCATATGAAGAGGGGATAAGTGGGAGAAGGAGCGGTGATGTGCATTTTGAGGCGCCTCAAAATGCACCTCACTACACGCGGTGTTCTTTTGAGGCACCTCAAAATGTATCAAGTGACTGACTACACGTCCCACCATGGGCATATGAAGAGGGGATAAGTGGGAGAAGGAGCGGTGATGTGCATTTTGAGGCGCCTCAAAATGCACCTCACTACACGCGGTGTTCTTTTGAGGCGCCTCAAAATGTATCAAGTGACTGACTACACGTCCCACCATGGGCATGTGAAGAGGGGATAAGTGGGAGAAGGAGCGGTGATGAGGTGGGTGGGTGGACACGACGAGGGGGGACACGACGAGGGGGGACACGACGAGGGTGGACACGACGAGGGTGGACACGATGAGGGGGGGAAGGCAGCCTGAGGAGTACGTAAGGAGGGACGGAAACCCAGAATGAGATTTCGCAAAGGGAGAGACAAATGAAGTCGTACAGTAGGTGGAAAGGAAGAGCAAGTGAGTATGTGCGGGAGAGGGTGGGTGGGTGGGTGGGTGGGAGAATGATGTGACAGCCATTCAAAGTATGGTGCTGCCTGCAATGCAACTCTCCTGCAAGTGAGGGAGTGTAAATCTCCTGCTTGTCGCTCCTGCAGGGCATTCACCCACCTCACCCAACCCATGCAGCGGCGACAACAAGCGGGGGGGGGCGGTGTAGGCGGTGAGCGGTCATGACATGACCGGGTAGGCGGTAAGCCGCTTACGAAACCCACGCCGATTGCGTAAGTGCTGCGTTCCTGTGATTTTAGTGGTTTTAGAGAATACTCATAACCTCCTGAATTGAGGGTGGCATTACCTCACTCACTCGCTCACTCACTCACTCACCCACTCACCCACTCACACACTCACTCACCCACTCGCTCACTCACTCACCCACTCGCTCACTCACTCACTTTCTCACTCACTCACCGCGCCCATGCCGAGTCCTTAGCTGCTGGATTCTTGCGCGGCCGCCCCGCCACCACCACCCTCACAGGGGGCGACGGCGGAGGGGGAAGCGGCGCCGCGTGCACAAAAAGGTCATACGGCTGAGAGTTTTGGGAGGGAGAAACGGGAAGACGCATGCAGGGAGGGGCGACGGGAGAGGGGGGACAAGGGCGGGGTGCTTTTGCTTGGATGGTGGCAGGAGGGGAAGCGGCGCCGTGTGCACAAAGAGGTCATGAGGCTG